CCACACCCTCGACTCTGTGGGGGCCGGAGTTGTGATGTATGGGGTCAGGGCCTTGAAGGCCAGGGACTGAGGAGAGCCTTGGCACACCTCATCTGACTGACTCACCTTCTCCACAATCCGCAGGCAGCGTCTCTGCTCACACTTGCAGAAGAGTCCTGAGGCTACATCATGGGGCAGCTGCAGGCGGCAGATAGAGCAAGTCCCACAGTCTTCTTTTACCAGGCAAGCTGTACACTCTCCACAGCCAACTCTCTGTCAGAAATGTATGGGGTAAGATTAGAAGCCTAGACAGGGGACTCAAGGACCACTATCCTTCCAAATGTTAGCCATGCTTATTAGTCTCCCGTTAACCTCTTTACTCTAGCTAATAAACTACTGATTAGCTTACCAACACCAAGGCCACTACTGTTCCTTCTACTAGTGCTCTGTTAAATTCATCCCTGTGTCTACTAGTACCCCATTAATTACCATTATTGCATCTACAAACTAACCAACAGCAGGTCTCAATTTAAAAAACAACAACAAAAACAAAAAAACAAAAAAGACCTGTCATGACTCCTAAACCCTCCATCAGTCCTATGACATCCTGTTCTCTTATAGACTATGGGAAATATACTGTTCTTACCCTAAACATTCTCTGTTCTCGGTTGAAGGCAATTCTCTGTGCTGGTGGAAGAAGGAAGAATGGTGAGAAATGGAAAAGAAGCAACAGACACAGACATATGGCTTCAGCTACTATCTTAACCCTGACTCTCACTGTTCTACATATGCCAATAGAGTAGGGTCACAGGCTGATTCCATATATGCCCAAAGCCGCTATCCTATCCTGACATGTACTGTATAACCTCCAGCTTAGCCTGGCACTGGATCTAATATGTGGTTTGTCTCCTAATTCCTAGGGACTTACCTCGGCAGTCTTTGCACAATGTCTTAAGCCTCTGCCTTTTGACACCATCCCATGAGAAGTGGTTTCCACAATTCTCACAGCACCTAAAATTAAAAGAGCAGAGCTATGTACTCCCAATCCCAAGCCTCACCCACCTGGCTAACCTTAAGCCAACACTCACCCAGGTGCAGATAATGAAGCTGGAGCTGTGCCAGTGCCAGCCTTATTCTCATCCTGTGGAGTCTCCTTCTTGACCTCACTCTTCTGAGGCCCAACCTGACGTTTCTTGACCTTGGATGGTTTAGAAGGCTTCTTTTTCTGCTTGCTAGGGACAGTCACGGGATGATGGGTCTAGAGATGAAGACAGGAAGAGTGTGGGTTAGTACATGGGTATCACGTGACACAGGTGCCCTGGCACGGACACTGACATTGTGAAGTACCTTGGGAGCTGGATAGCACAAGATGCCTTGTCTGAAGTCAAAGAGGGTAAGATCACATGCGGGGCCTAGGTATCGAGTCAGCTCAACTTTGCTTCGAATCTTGTCTCCTGTGGGGCTGAAAATGAACCACAATGAGTTGGCACCAAGAGGGAGCTAATGTCATGCCACCCACACAACATCCCCACAGATTTGGTGAGATGCAAGAAGCAGTCTGGATTCAGCCTGTGAGCCCCACCCAAGTCCTACCTCAATACAAGTAACAGGAATACAAAATATGAATATAAATACCATCATGCACACAAATGTTAATAAATAATAGAGCTGTGAACCTCATTTTGATCCATGCCATCACATATTCTATAGTAAATCCATAAAATTATAATACAGGGGAAAATTCTATTATCTGGCAATACTATACACACAACATTATACAGGCATCTGTAGTGATGTTAGTGTAAACAAACCTAGTGTAATACCACAGTACATACTTGATTAATAATAACTACAATTACTGGTTTATGAACTTAGTGTGATTTTTATCATTTTAGAGTCCTACATATGAAAAAAATTAATGTACTGTGAAACTGCAATGTTAGACTAGTAGTACCCTGATATAATTAAATGATTATTGCTTCTCTTGACTTCCTAATTCTCTCTAGTGTTTGATTTAATCTCGGGATTTTTATTCAGCAAAGGAGCATATTCCATAGCATATACAGTTATGTGGTATCCAACAATGCTCTCATCAATAATCAACTATATATACATGACAGTCCCTAAGATTATACTTTCTAATGACACCACACGTCCTAGCTTTATAATCTATGATTTTAACATGAAAAAATCATTTATAACATGTTCTCAGAATGTATCAGTACCAATAAGCAATGTATGACTATATGAATATTTAGCTTAGGTGTATAGTGTAGTGTACTATATCACTGAGTTTGTGTATTCCTCAGATTGTATTACTATTGGTAACTGTGCATAGACACATAAGCAGGCAGGGCACTGTACACATGCCTTTAATCCCAGCACTTGGGAGGCAAAGGCAGGTGGGCGGATCTCTGAGTTTAAGGCCAGCCTGGTCTATACAATCAGTTCCAGTATACCCAGGGCTCAGTAGAGAGAGACCCTGCTCCAAAATAAATAATAATGAAGACACATAAACATACTTACAACATGTAACACCATTAGTGTTGAAAATATGAGTAAAAATCAACACAAAATAGTAAGTAAGTAAGATATAAATATGTATTTTGGTTTGTTTTGCTTTGAGATGGGGATATCATTTTAACCCAAAGGGCTTTGAAACTCATATGTAAAGAAAGATGAACTTCTGATCCTCCTGCTTCTACCACCCCAGTGCCAGTTTTTCAGAAGTGTATATAGTACTAGAAATCAAACTCAAGGCTCCAAGAACACTAGACAAGTACCCAGTACTCAAATGTTATGTATTACATACCAAATGCATGATCATAAAAGCTTATAACAGAACTATTTTTTAAAACATGAAAATGAAATTATATTCAATACAAAGTATAAGTAGCTAATGTTGAGGGATGACATTCTAGGTCTTTTCACTTCTGCAAGAATCATCAGAGGCATTCATTATCTCCTGAAACAAACTACCTTCTCATTGTTTGTAAAAACAGGTAACTTTTGAAAAGGTCCCCTCCCTTCCAGGGGAAAGGACAGCAATGCTTATCATACTGATACTTGATTTTCTAAACTCAAATACACAGGCTGCCTTTCCTATATACAGTGCAGCATATATGCTACTTAGCCCTCTTCATGTCATCCTATGGGGATTGGGATTCTAAGAAATGCCAAAAACAGGTATTTTAGGCTCTGATACTACTGTGAGAAATTTTTTTTATATCTGGCCCAGGAAGTATCACATTTCCTATCAGCATCCACAAAACTAACAAACCCATTTACTAGTCTGATAAATATGTATCTTTTGACAATTACTTGTAAGTTTTGAAATTTTTATACAATTTCATATGTGGAAAAAGTTAAAAACATAAAAGTTGAAAATATCTGAAATTTTATGATATTCTAGGGAAATGACAACTTAGATAAACAGGAAGGGTGTAGAAATGTTAGTAGCTGTTTCACGAATACAGAACACATGCTTATGTGTGGGAGCCCACAGTGACTCCATTCCATCTTAAGGTCAGAGAGTTCAAGCTTGTTCTTGCTCCTCAAGGCCAAATAATAGGATGTTTGACCAGAGGTGTGGTTACTAGATGTTTTGAGAATTAAGGAGGTGATTGTGCTTGTTTGTTTCTTGAAAGAAAGGCTTTTGCCCACCCCTTTTGTTTAGGGTATAAAAAAACTATGAGAAATAAATTCTGGGCTGCTGCAGCGTTCACTGAAAGCCCTCCTGATTCTATCCTTTCTTTTGTCTCTTTCTAAATCCTCACTCCTCTTTTCAGGTACTGTTTGACAGGTCGACTGGCCCCGACACTTAGGAACTTTAATGTTGATGTGTTTATAGTCAATTCTCATTATATGCAGTAATTATGTATTATGAGGTTCTACAAACCCTGAATTCATGCAGCAAGAACCATTGCTCCAGGAAATACACAGGTGGGTTCCAGCAAGCCTGTCACATTTTTAGCAGCTGATCAATGCATAGTCTTGTTTTATGTGATTTTGTTTAAAGACCTTGTAACATTTGTTTCTTACAAATGACTTCACTTCACGATCAGTTAATAATTAAGAGCCACACTGGCTTCAGAGAATGTTTCGTCTAGATTTGTCTGCCAGTGTTTTGGTCTTATTTTTCTGAAGACACCTGATATACAGAAGTACATCACAAGTTTAATGTTTTTATACCATATCACCTTCTGAAACATGCAAACCAGACAGAAGCAGCTAAAATGATTGACCTTTTCCTAATTCTGACCAATATATCTTTGGCTTTCTTCATAACAATGTTGTTCACTACTCTTTACTAGCCATCAGTTCATGAATCTACAAATTCAGCTACTTTCCCAACTTCTCTGAGCATCAAGTACTACAAATTTTAATTTTTGTTCTTTCCAGAGCAGCCTCACACACATCCAAGCAAGTTCCCTCTTCTCTTTTGGGATGTAACATTTCTGATTTTTAACACTGTAACTCAAGCAGATAGTACATGCAATTCATGGAAGCTTATCTGACAAGGAGAAAAAGCACATGACCTTCTTCTTGCACTCAGAACACTAGAAAACACTTTATTTGGGAGATTTTTAAACAACAAATTTGACAACAAAAATATGGCACTAAATAGACCACACAAAGGATGCTGGATTTGCAGTACAAAAGGGAGCAAAAAGTTCTTGTTCAACTTATTAGGAATGCAAGCACTAGACAATTCAAATTTTTGGCTGCCCCATTTGTGTCTGTGAATAATCACAATTGAATGTGCATATTGACTTTGGTCAAATAAGCTTTATTAAGGATGGATGATTATGAAAACACAAAACTTTTAATAAGGGACTGACTATGTGAACAATTTTAACTCCATGTATAGATTTAAACAAACCGGTTTAATTACTAACAAGGCCCAACTCTATTAAACACTGACCAAAACCCACCCATTACCTCAGATAATAGATGTCTGAGCGTCCACAAGAGGCCCCTGACTTTCGAAAGGCCTCACGTCGCTTCCAGCCAGGGCCCAGGGCTGGGCAGTCTTGCCAGTCCCCAGCCATAGGTACTTCGGAAATGAAGAAACACCTAGGAGGATTGGAAGTAGGTAAGGTATGAAAGAAATTAGTGGCACTCTGCTTCTAGGCCACAACGGTGTTGATGTTAATACTTGCCCCAGACATTCGCATGTATTTCCTTGCCATCCCTCTTCTTTATCATCCTCCAACATATATACTACACCCTCCAAACACATACACTACAATCTGGCATGAGGTCCCTAGTCTCTTGTCCTCACCTCCCAACTTCAGTTTAACTTAATTCACATTTTCCTTGACCTGAGTTTCCAATGTCTGTCAGTGTTCTGGCTGCATTTATATGCATGAGAGCGCCCAACTCTTCCATACACCAGTCCCCTTTCCTTTCATTCTTCAGCCTGCAATCTCCCCCTCAAGTCCAAAGCTCTCCCCCAAACTGATTTTCCCTCGTTTTTCTGGCCCACAATTCCTCTCCAGTCTCATCCCTCACCTCTACTGTCAGCGTTCGCTACTCTTACCCTTATCTTTGTCATTCTCCATTTCTCTTAATACCCTGTGAAAACTTCCTTGTTCCTTCACACAGTGACCTGCCTCTCAGTTTCTGTTGGTGTTCGGGGACAATAGCACCCGTGTCAGTCTTCTGACATTCCACTTTTCGTTCTCCACGAGTTTCTAGTCCCTCATAATTCTAACCCTGCTATTTCTCCTATGACCTGTCTCAGGCCCCGTCTTCTCACTATCAGCTTTGGGTTCCCATTTCTATCCCGTTAACATGGAGGCCTGACGTCTCTCTAAACGTTCTGATCTCTTCCATTCCTCTCCATTCTAGTCCCTCGACATTGTTGTCATCGCCCCGAACCAGTTTCCCCAGGATCTATCTCA